TATATATATATATATATATAAATAAAGGTGCGCCTTGCTTCACTCAGGCGTCGCCTTTTTATCGCCTCTCGCCTTAAGGCGATCTAAGGGCTTGTCGCCTTGAGGTGCGCCTTGCGCCTCGAAAACACTGGACACTACCCTTTTTTTTGATAAGAAACAATTGTATTAGAACAAAAGGAGAACATAGCCTACGGGCGAGGGCCGAGGAGGCCCTCCCCTAGAGAACTACCACATTATTGCTTGCCAATCATGGGACAATAAAGCTAGACTGTAATTACAAAAGAAGGAGTAAGTCATCAAGTGACCGTATTAATGTGTACATCTTCACAAAAAATATCAAAAAGGGTAGAGATATCATTGAACGTTCTTTGATTTCTTTCCTTCCAAATGCTCTAAAGACAAACTCTACCTGCGCAACACCAAAGAACCCTGCCTTTGCCTTTACTGAACCTCCCTGAATCATTTCAAGTAGCCAATCATCAATCGATTGAGCAAGAAAACCCGAAAGGCCGCATTCTCTCATCACAAAAGACCAACATCTTGAGGCAAAAGTACAATGGAGAAACAAATGATCAATTGTCTCCTCATTCCTAAGGCAGAGAGAGCAAACAGGAGATAAAGCCCAATTTTGGAGTTTTTTCTGCAGCTTCTCGTGTGTATTGATACTTCTATAGGCTAGGCTCCAAAAAAAAAACTTTTATCTTTCTTTGGACAAGGGAATTTCATATCAACTCTATAAGAGGAGTCTTTAGATAAGGGGTCACTTCCGTTAGTTTGAGGAAAGTGGATTTCGTGGTAAAGCGTTTCTCACCTCCCAAAGTCCATTCGACCTTGTCAGCCCCCTGTCCCCATCTGAAGGAGTCCAAAAACCCCACCAAGCACATCCAACTATTAATTTCTTTCCCTGATGCCTCTTCTAAAGCCCAAACTCCAATCATTTTGATCAGAATTCCAGCAATCTGCCACAGTACATTCTTGTTTGGTTGAGATTCTATATAAATCTGGAAACTGGGTTTCAAAGGGGGTCTCCCAACCAAGTATCTTTCCATAATTTGATTCTATGCCCATTTTGAACTTTAAAGGATAGGAAACTCATAAAATAGGGACCTTGTTTAGTAATTTCCACCCATGGGCGTCCTTTGGGCGACCCTTTAGGAGGGGGAGGCAGCCAACCGGGAGAACCCCTAACATAAATACTCGAAATGACCTGCTTCCACAGAGAGTTGTCATCCTGAATAAATCTTCATAGCCATTACTGAAGGAAGGCATTATTCCTTTGTTTGTAGGCTCCAATCCCTAACCCACCGTACATTTTTGGCAAAGAGGTCGGATCCCACCTTACCAGATGGCGTTGGGGATGGCTACTGTGATCATGCTAAAAGAAATTTCTAACAATCCTCTCCATTTCCGAAATCACCTTGTTAGGGACCTTAAAGTTGGAGAAAGCATAGAGAGGGATGCTATTGAAGACAAATAGAGCTAAAGTAAGCTGATGTAGTTAAGTAGCTCTTCATAGCTTTTCTCGATTATTAGCTACTGATATAGCTTTTATTTTAGTAGCTTTACTTTTACTGCACAGTAACAATAGTTACTCA